AGAATTTCGGGTTTTCGTCAAAGAACGCTATAACGCGGGTAAAGAGTTTCAGCTACCAGCACTGTTCAAATTGCTTTTAAAAGAATTCTAAATTCATACTCAACGCGCCATCGCACCCCAGTCAATCCGATTCAGAATATTTTTTGTCACGATTTTTTCAACTGCGTGTGATGTAAATCAGCTACAAAGGAATGTGTATTCGTGACAGTCCGGCGTGAAAGACGGTCACGCTGATTCAATTAATTTATGCAGCGAAGCTACGTTCAATTTTATAATACATTTTACCAGTAGTCTAGATTCTGGATTACTTGCGTGTTCATAATATATTCGCGTCACGTCGCTCGCGCCGTCGTCGCGCTGGCGTGACTTTAATTACCACGTACGACACTTATTAACGAGCGAATTTCATTTCCTCAAACTATAGTTATGACGCGCTCATAGTTAATGCCAAGTCGATTTATCCGAGACAATCCCGCGTTCGTATTACACTTCTCGTTCATGTCGAAGCATAAAACACAAATAGATAACAAAGAACAAGAGTTGTTTAAAAATTACGCGAGTAATCGAATTTATTACTACTTTGTTCTTTCCGTTTTAGTGATACGATTCTTTATTTTTTTTTTTTCCAAATAATTATATATTTCTTGCAACTCAAAAATTAGGATTTTTTAACCAATTTTATTTGTTTAGAAATGCGTTTAGTTTTTTGGAAATCGCTTCGAATTAACGAAGAGTGACAAATTAAACTCGCAGTGTATATATTTCTAGCATTAATATAACATAGACATGCCACAGATAGATACCCTATCGCGATCGTGCGTTTCGTCAAGTGTATCCAATTTTCAAGTCGCAAAGCCATTTACTCCACTTGTGTTCATCGCCGTTATACCCTCTTGTCTTTACTGTTATGTGACGCGGTAATTAAGGATAAAGGCGTTTATCGCAATATCTATCGTCAATCTGCGGAAACGAAGGACGACGCCAGACATTTCCGACCAGAAATCGCGTCGTTACCTGTGCATTTCGAGTATGTGTTTCCCTCAACGAGTTGGCGAGATCGGGTTTTCGATGAGAGATCAGGTGGGTTCTCGGGTCAGGTAATATCATAGTCGTATCTCGCCATATATGAAACTCGCTAACTAATTTTACTTGCGTGTATTCCCTTCGTGAAACGCCTTAAGAATAAAATTATTCGAAATATTCTGTGAAATTTCACCGACCTTCTATACATATTTATAGCACTAAATGAAGTTAAATGAGCACTAGCTTCTATGATGCAATAAGACCAACAAATTAAAAAATATTAAACGGCGATTACTGTGATGCAATAGAGAAGTTTGCTATATTCTTTTTTATTTAAACAATTTTTCTCTCAATCTTTGTGTTATATTACTTTCAAATTAATGTCAATAAATTATCTTATAATAATAATTATATACGTATATATATATATATTTTTTTTTAAATTATTTTATGTATTGAGTGTTTAAAAAAAGAAATGCCATGTTACAGTACGCATTTTATCACAAAGTATTCAACTCGCGGCATTATTTACAGTCAGCATAATAATACATCTATTTTTCGAGGAAAATCCCGCGAGACATCTAAAGAATGCTCATTGAACTGTTCCATAGAAATAATCAGTGGTCGGAGGTTGGAACAGCGGTTGAAAAATACCGCTGCAGGGTGATCATTTCACGCACTGCGGCGACGATATCGTCGCGCGTTCTCGCACACCCCGTTACGTTGCCGGGAAAAACTGCAAACGAAAAAAAAGAAATAGACAGAGAGGGGGGGGGGAGTAGAAAAAAGAGAGAGAGAGAAAGAATGGATACTATTTGTCGAGCGGAATAGTGGCATTCCCAAATGGAACGCGAGAGCACTCTGGTTATTAGCGCACTTAAGTGCCGACGGAGAACTTCGGTCCCTCGTGTCGTCGAAACGAGGGAGAACGGTCGATACCCATCCGGTGCGCATTCCCCCCTGTGCCGATGGCCCTTCCCGCCGTTTGTACCGCGATATGCATAATATTTACACTACCCCCCCAAGTGCTAGGCGCGTCAATTTCGCCAATTTCAGATATATGCACGCGAATGCACGAGACGCTCGCTGCGGCTGCAGTCTCGAGCTGTGCGGTATCGATAGGGTGTCCCGGGCTTCCCGCGCTCCTTCCTGCGCACGAATTCCTGGGCCAGTATGCAGGCGACTGATATTTCATTAACAAAAACAAGCCCAACTTTGGCTGTAATTCTTGAATAAGCGACAGTGAAAATTCAGGAAATTGCGCAAGTTTAGCTTTAGAAATGAAGGCAGATAAAGTTTTGTTCTTCGTCGAAATTTAAATGACGATTTTGCTTTAATAAAATTTTAATATTTCTAATTTGAAATCTCAAGAGTGAATTGATACAAGATTAGCAAAAAAGGTAACAAAGTAAATTGTGATGAAGGGAAAATCAGCTTTAAATTAATTCGTAGATAAAGGGAAGTACGGGACACCTTGTACAACAGGCGTGCGCCGCAATTCCGAAATTCCCGGATCCCTCCCCTGAGCAAGCCCGGCAAACGGAGCGCGTAAATGCGAAACGAGTTCTTGAGTGCAAGTTAAGCCGCGGGCTTACGCGCTTATTTAGCCAATTATGCTTCGGCTCGTAACATCCGGCGAGCGTTGTTCGCGGTTCGAATTCAGGTTCGCAAGAGGAACGATAACAATGCGGCTCGCTCTGTCATCGAGCGCGCTTAAGCCGGTATCCGAAAGGTTTTCTTGGGATCCTTCGGAGCACAAATTTATGTAATTTACACAAAGGATAAATTACATATTGTAGAAATAACTTCACTTAAATGTGAAAACTGCAATAAAAATATAGCCGCAAATAAATATAAATGCAAATAAAATTTATGCAAATTATACATTTTGCTTGCGTAACATATAAATTTCTTTTTCTTATAATATGTAATGACATAACTTTTTGGAATACTTTTATCTACTTCTAATTCTTTGATATTGCCAAAAAGTACTTTCCACCGTTAAGAACTCATCTACAGCTTTGATTGAAACCTGCATTACGCAATCAAAACTGTCGAACGAGCGATCATCGCGATTCGATTCGTTCAAACGATATCGCGCCCGTAATGAGAAAAATTAAAGCGATTGAGAGAATAAAGGAGGGAATAAGATTAAAACCGGGCGGGAAAAGTTAGGGCGGCGGGCACGAGAGAGACATTTGATTCCGGTCTTTCTCAATGAGTTTTCTTCGACGACGTCCTACCTTCGTAACTCGGGACAAACTTTTGGCAGGTACATGGGAAAAACGATAGCGTTTCTCCACGCTCTGTACGCTACATCGTCGAGTACACTCGACTGTTATTTCAGACCCTCCACCTCCCGCGTTCATCCTACTCTGTCCCGACTCTACTCTCCTAGTTTGAGTTCGTACTCAGATAGCGTTCCGTGATGGCAGGCGGTATCGTCTTCTCCGGCGGACGAGCCTGGCGCAGCGATGAACTTTATGGAAATGGTCAACATTATTTTTCCGTACACGCGTGCACGAGTACCCCAGCCGCTGGCTGCCGCCACCGCCGATCGTAAACAATACGGATACAGACGATACGTTCTCAGCGGTAATAGTATAACACACGTACGTGATGTTCGCCGTTTTTTACAGTAAGCAGGTCGCGGCCGATACGCGTGCATAATGTTATCGGCCTTGGACGTCCCGGCGGATTTCGCAATTACGCCGCGCCGCGCGGAGCTTTGTCTATATTATTTGAATTTTTCTTATTAGAACTCGAAGATTACGACGTGACAGATATCACGCTCTTTCTTCAAATATTTTCGCGTGATAAACTCGTACTGCAACAGAGTTTTTAATTTGCGATTCAAGTTGAGTATTTGAGAATTAATTAATGAGATGCGAAATTTTGATCATTAACAAGAATCGACAATGAAATCCGGGATTTTCTCTTTTGAGAAAAATAATTCCAAGAAAAATATGATACCGCTTTTTCCTTCGGCATCGTACTTTTGGAGCTTGCTGTTTCGACGAGATGTCGATCTGTCCAAAGAACAACGCGCCGTAGCGATATGATATCATCGCCCGCTTAAAATTTCTCTAACAAGGTACGATTTCGCCCGTTGTACGGGCACTTCCTCGTGCCATTGTTTCCTCGGATACTCATTGTTCCGTCCGCGAGAGCGATGGAAGTAGCTACGGCGTTGTCAGGGCGGCCGCCCTCTCTTTACTTCTCCCTCCCTCACTCACCCTCGCTCCCCGCTGGATGTCGCATTAGCATGCGCAAAGTTAAGGGCTATCAACGTCGCGACGTCGGAGTTCTTCGTGAACAGTCAGGCCGTCTGCCTGTCACTTCCAATGATTCGCAGTTTACGATGTTTACGAAACGCGAAAGGGCCATCGCCGTACAACTCCGCCGGAGGATCCGAGCCGTCGTTTCTCGTCGTCGTTAACGTGCCGCACGCTACATCCTCCTCCCCCCCTCCGCTCGCTACCCTCTTCGGTTTCCGCGTTGGAACTCGCCGGTCAAGTCGACTTAGCGCGCCGGCGGAAGCGGCGAGGAGTTCGCAGCTTTAATATTCCGGCGCGTAATCTGACGCAGATGCTAGGAAGTAAGGGCGGGATTTACGGAGTATACCGGCGCAATCTATTCGTAAAATTAACTGCGTTGCGCCCTCGCGCGCGCGCGAGTTCTGCTTAAGGTCGGAATTTATGAGCCCGAAATAATCGATCGTCTCGCGCGCGCACCGCACGCCGCACCGAACCGCGCCGCCGGCAGGTGCGGCCTGGTATTAATCTTCGAAATGCAAATGAAATTTAGTACCGGCCCTCCAACAACGTGACCCTCCATTAACGCGTCTTCGATGTCCGGCGCGATTTTAGACTCTTCACGTCTCAATAAAATCCCGATATCGCGAACGCCGCACGATTAAAAAAAAAAAAAAGAAAAAGACCCTGAGAATTTCGCTGGAAAAGTTTATAATCACTCACGCTGAGGGATCGTTTCACAGGGGCATCCGTCGTTCTCACGCCTCTTCTCGCCAGATCTCAAGGAACCGGTCGATTGCGTCGCTCGTAGTTTCGGAGTCTGCGCCTGGAAAATTTTAGCAATTAGTCACGTGTAAAGACAGCCCCGAGGCTGGCTAACGTTGCGGACGGGCTACTGTTTATCTAATGCGCGGATACCGAGAAAGTTAAACGCTCGGCCGGGCATCGGCATGCAAATTCTTCGTTGTTTCGTACCTTATGAAGCGCCTTAAGGTACGAAATTCACTTCGAGCTCCTTCGGCGAAACCGAGCGAAACTTGATCGAACTTACGATTAATGATAGCGATCGAAAATTTAACCGTCGATCAGAGTTAACGACAATCTTTAATCCGTTAGTATTTCGTAGCTTACTTCGCACGCAAACTGTGCCGCAAAAAATTTATTATATCTCGGCTAGTAATTAGAAAATATTTTTCTCGTAAACATGCAACGCTGATTGTGCCAAAAATGAGGGTTTAGTTTGAACAGGAGTTCATTCGTATACGTATCTGAATATTCAAAGGATTTCGAGATGTTTGTGCGCCAAATGTTTGCACCGCCAAATGTTTGCGTGCGCGCCAACTGGCCCTATTATCGAACACCCTGTACATTATTACGACGAACTGGCCGAGCGTATACCCAAACGTGCTTCTTAAACACCGTTTAAAGTTGTAACGAATCTCCTTTCGGTGTCGGCGTGCCGCTCTCCGCAATGTGCTAAAAGTCGCTGCAAATTTAATTTCGAGATTGTTGCGCAAAGTTTACGCTCCAGCTGCGTCCATCAGCTGGTAAATTATGCAAACGCATCGTTGCGCCTCGCGGAAACACGATCCCTGGCCGCCCAGCTTCTTCTGAGAGAAAGACGAAGAGAGAGAGAGAGAGAGAGAGATAGAGAGGTCGAGCTTCGCCGCGATGGCAGTCTCCTTATAACGAACTCCTCCGCCGGGGCGAAGTGGAGGAGGTCGAAAAGTTACCTTGCTTCCACAACCGATATCGACATTCCCAGCGTTGCAAAAATGATCATAAATTGAGTCCGCGTTATCCTACGTGCATTCTCGTAAGTGTAAGCCGGCAGCTCGTTGAATTATGCAAATACATCGGACTTTGACAAACAGCATCTCGACACGTCGGCACTTGACGAAGCGGGCGCGCTTCCCGGAGCTTCCGTGCGGCACGGAAGTATTCCGCGTGGAATTAGACATTTGTTATTTTAAGCTCGAGAAACATGGATATTAATGTCAGTTGGTTTTGGTCGGAAAAGAAAAACACGAAGTGATAAATGCGACAATTAGAAGGAAAGCAAAAGAGTAACAGATGTGATTCGTCATAAAATTTTTAGAGAGTTTATTTCGCAAAAAAGGCATGATGAATATAATTGAACGCAGATAACACGCGAAGATCCACGTGGGATCGCAATCGCAATCTTTCCAGGCAGAAAGAGAGAGATTAATAGAGATGGATGTACATATAAAATATCAAATCTGATTGCACTCCGGAATTAGAGAATAATCGTGGGAGATATACTGCCGACTTCTGCTCGTTTAATACTCTCAGGATGCGCTCGCGCGGTGATTAGTATGCAAATGAATCGCGTCTTGACAAACGGCTTCGTACGTAGCGAGTTATTGCTTGTCTTTGATTCACACGTGCGTTACGCGGAACATTTACGATTCTTTCGCGATGTTTTTCAGCAGATACACGCGTAGAAGATTACGAAATTATTGGTTTACTATGCAATTCCTTAACCGATACACGCGTGCAAATTGTAAACGCGCGTTGAGCCGCTATAAATTACTAGGCGGCGTGCGCGGCGCGCGGGTGGGAGAGATTAAAACGACACTTGGCGGCACCGCGCCTGTCACGCAGGCAGGTGGAAATCGTCCTCGCTGTCGTCTAGCTTCGACTTTATTACCCAATGGATACGCGCATAATTATTCGGCGCGCACGGCAATTATGCAAATGCATCGCTCTTTGACAAACTACTCCTTGGCACGTCGCCGCTAATGGAGTACCTAGCGGCTTAAGCCTCAATAACCTCCTCCTTTCCTCGACGCCCTCGTCCTCGTCGCACACGCACGCACACGCGGCACCGGAGACGTGAGAGATCGAACGATTCCTCCTCACCTCGTTTTCGCGCGTCTACGAAGACGTCTCTCGCGCTCACGCGATTTGCATCCTGCCGCCGCATCTCGTTTGTCACGAAACGCACAAGGTCGCATGCGATATTATGCATGGCGTAACCGTTCTCGCTGCAGTTTCGCACAGCAGAAATTGCCCCCGCGCGCGCGCACACACGCCGGCCCCCGCAGCCAAGGGATCAAGAAAACCGGCGTCAGAGAGCTACACGATGGGCGAATAAGAGCGGTGCTTATAAAGTATTCATAAGCCCCCGACCCATGCTATAGCCGGGGTCACGGCTTTATACTTCGCAATGTATTTTCGATATCTTCGCTGCCGCCGCTGCGCCGCTTTAACGCCCCGCCACCATTGCCGTCGTTCGTAACTTACTTCACACTTTTCGCGAGTTTGATGGAAAACTCACGTTTTTGTCGGTCGGCAAGCTTAATCTTCGTACGCGATAATCTTCGTATCGGCCTTTTCTGCGCGCCGCGATATTACTCGGATTCGCTCGGGCGGTATCGATAATTCACTGCGCGCCGTGAAAGAGCCGAGATTATTTCTACGAAAGCATTTAAGTGCTAGCGATCAAAGGTCAATACATCGTCAAACAGTCTAATGGCTCAGAAGATTATAATCAGAGAGAGCTCTTCCGCGATTTTAAATCGAATTTCTCCGTACTTGTAACCAATAGTGCTTTGAAGATTGTTGGACAATGATTAGCGATTATTAGAAAGTAATGATAAATATAATAATTTTTATCTAAATTTTTTATTTTCACTTTATTTTCTCTCGTTAAAGTCCGCGTCTCTACAGCTGCAGCATAGAAAACTGAATGTATCGAAAATTATACCGGTTTCAATCCCTTTACGGCTTTACGGCCCTGCATAGCATCGAGTCTTCTGAGAATTCGCGCAATACGAATATTAATGCGCGCGTGCATTGCCGCGCACGCGCGCCAAGCGGAAGGAACATCCAGGAATCTATTTCCTCGTCTCATGCATGATTCATCTAGATATTCCATTTTATTGACGTCACGGTTCGACGATCCGAGAGAGAGAAAAAAAGTTGTTTCGCGCGATCGGCGGCTCGCATTCCCGATCGCCATGCGCGATCAGCTCTCATTGACGCGTTCCGTCCAACGATTTGTCAAGGGAAGAGTTTTATTGCTTTAACTCGCGAGGAGGGCTAATCGGGGTTAATTCGGCTCGGCAATTGTCAGTCGCGCCGTATTACAGTTTACACACGGTTTATATCGCGCGAGCGCACATCCCGTGCGCAGGAGCGCATTTACGCGCGTAGTCACGTAGAACAAACGGCGACGCGCAACAGCGTACAAATGTCGCGACTTTGGAGAACTCGAGAGCGCTCGAACATAGACGAAATTACAGTGCTTCACATAAGCAAATTATTGCGCCGGGGCGTAATTGAAATTCATTACGCGATTCGCGCCCGATTATTTCCCGGACTATTGCGGCAAAATCCGCTTTATTCGCCGCCCTGTATAACTTTCCGCGGTGGAATTTTGTGACGGACACGTGGAACAATACACCGGTAAACAATCAACAAATGTATAGAAGTCCAGTGGCGATCCAGAAATTCCCAACAATGAGAACGGAGCTTCGCAGCTTCATGGAGACTATGCGTGATTTCATATTTAGATTATTAAAGGATTATTAAAGAGGATTATTAAAGGATTTTCGTAAATAAAGCTTCAGTAATGCAAGTAATGAATAATATTCCGTTTCTCAGATAATTAATGATAATAATAATTAATGGTCTCCGCTTTTGCGATTACTTGATTCGAAGTTTAAATCCCACGGTGCTGTGCGTTGTACAAGCTGCCGCGCACGCACAAAACATATTGCGGTCGGAGTTGGCAAATTTAATAATTTCTATTCGCGATCCGCGTGACTGTCGCTTATTTCTCTATACGTGAAATTTATTTACAACAACGATGTAGCGCGTGTTCATTTCCCACATCATTTCCCGGGCGCATCTCCGAGATGCTCGACGCGCCTTGGACCGGACTGCCAGTCGGTTCGTATACTCGCCATTGTCCTGCCTGCATGCCATCGAAAATCCTCTACTTAGTGGAACGCGAATCCAGCGTACTTTCGGAAAAGCCTTCAAGTCAGATAACTTTTGTCCGCGTGACTTCACCCGGCGGTGGGCGAGCGGGCGGTGCGCCGAGCAAAAAGAACTTAACTGAAGCGAACAAAATAAACGCGCCCCGTTATATACGTATATATATATGCCCAAGATTGAGGCGCTATTTAAGTGTGAATATAAAATTTTTACCGGCTCAGTGAGTCGATTGTCGCCGAAAGACGTCGGCAGGCGAAGTCCGACAGCGCAGCTCGACGTTTCCATTTCTTTCAGAAAGCGAGCTTGAACTCGCGAAACGAGAAATCATTCTTTTATCTTTCTTTCTTTTTTTTTTTATTGTTCGTGTCAAAAGGTGAAAGGTACCGTGAAAAGGTGCAAGCGAGGAGACGGCGGTGCCAGTTTCGGCCCGAATTTGTTAAATTTTTCATTACGACACTTGGCCTAAAGTTAACATTGATCGAACTACAAGAGGCGCCATTAGGGAAAGTCGAGAAAACGAAAGGACAAAGCTCAGCCACGAGACATTGATCGAGCGTAGAAAAAGTTTCGCTGTCCGAGAGATATCTTGATCGATCGGTTTTAAATGGCGCGAAGAATCGCGAAAGTTGCGGGATTGCGCGCGACCCAAGTACCTGTTTCGGTTGAAAACTCGCTAACCGCGTAAAATCTCAAAACAGATGAGCAGCGTATTTTTGCAAAGCTTTTTTTCCAAAATTTCTTTGTGCATAATTATATTCCAACTGCACACTCCGACTGATTTTTACATAATTTATAATAAATTCGTTTAATTAAATGTTTAAAATTCAACTTTTCAAACCTCAAATTTAGCATGGCACGAAA